CATGATGGTCAGTGTGTGTGTTTGTGTGTGTGTTTTGTTTGTGTTTGTGTGTGTGTGGTGTGTGTGGTGTGTCTGTGGTGTGTGTGTGTGTGTGTGGTGTTTGTTTTTTTATAAATCATCATTTTTAGCTTTCAATAAACTTTTTACGACAAATATTATCAACTTTTGAGGCAAATTAATTTAATGTAACGTCAAAGCTAATGTAATTACAGTGAAAAAAATGAAAACAGTTTACAAAAAATAATAAATCTTTTAATAAATCATTATATAATAATTATTACTTCTTATCATAAAAGTGAGGTCGACTTTATAATTGTTATTCATTATAACAAACAAATATTTAGAATTATTTTGAAATTCATTATATTTGCCAATTTTTCCATGTTTTCAATGGAAGCTTTTCTCATGCTGGAGGCATAGGAACGTCAGTTCGCGCCTCTCTATTTTTTGTTTATGTTTATGTTAAATATTTAACTAAAGTGTTTAACTACCGAACAAGGAAATTCAAAAAATGTTGAAACAGTTTTTAATTTTTAAGAACAAAAAAATTTATTGCAGGAAAGGAAAGACAGTTGAGAGGTTTGTCATACATCATCACTACATCGTAAGGGCTTTTGTCCAATGTGTTTCATTTGTATTTGTTTTGTTTTTCAGAATAATCTGTATGTTTAATTGTAATTTTTACTATTTTTTTGAAAAGATTTTGTTTGAAAGCACTTAATAATTAACGACACAGCAATTTTAAGTTTTGTATTTCAATTAAAAATATTTTCGTTTTATTTCATTTCATATCATTTGAGGTTTACGTTAGTAAAGCTGCAAGATTATCCTTCCACTTTTTGTCCAAGCGTTATTGGTTGACGTTGGTTCTGAAAAAAACATGTTGTTGTTGTTGTTGTTGATGTTGTCATCATATTTGCTGTTGTTGTTGTTACATTTTTTGTTGTTAATGTCATCATGTGTGTTGTTGTAGTGTAAGTTGTTGTCATTATAAATGCTGTCGTAGCTGTTATATATGTTATAGTTGTTGTTCTCGTCATATTGTTGTTGATTCTTTTGTCATATGTTGTTGTTGTTGTTGATTTTCGAAGATGTTATCAACCATGTTGTTGTTGTTGGTTCTTGACTTCATCATCTACGTTGCAGTATCTTTCGTCAAATGTTATTTTTGTTACCTAATTTTTATTGAGACAACGTTGTTTTCATCGTGTGTTGTTTCAGATTTATGTAGTATATTTGTTGTTGCAATTTATAACAATCATGTCAAGGTTGTCGTGAACGAAAATATTTTGTTGTCATTAACACTTTTGTGTTGAGTGACGTGTTCTTATCGCATCTTAAACGCCTCGTCCTTTCTTCAGTCATTACTTGTGCACAGTCTACAAACTCCAAAAATTACTTATTGAAATACCCTGAGACGTTTCAAAATGTCGCTTTCGTCAGTAAAGTATTTTTTTTACAAAGTAATTAAAAAAATTTTATATAGAAATGTAATGGAAAATATTAAAAACAAGTTGATGTGATATCATGATGAATGGTTTGTTATCTTTAGAAACATAAGCCTGGACTCGTTAATGACGAATCATCACGTGCAATCAATGCACAGACATGCCTGGTAGATTTCTTTAGCTTTAAAATGATAATTTGAAAAACTAAAGGATTCTTTAAATTTAAATATTTCTATGATGTAGGCATAACAATTCTTCATTCTATAGAAATTATTACTTAATTGAACGCATTAGCAGAAGAAAATTGTTTTTACCAAATCACATTTGTACAATGCATAAGTTATGTCAACTTTGAATAAAAAATCCTCTGAATAAATTTCATATCAAGTTCCTACAGTAGTGCATTTATTTTTTGTTTATATAAGTTGATATTTAGGATGAAGTATACTGCAACATTGCGGACACCTAATTTTGAGTTATGTTTTAAAAACTATCCGTCACTGCAAATTATGTTGTTAGCGTATGGAGAAATTAAATACTAAATACATCAACTGTGGTTTGAACTTTCTAAATATTCATTTAAAAATAAAACTCATACAAACACACGCCACGCGCATGTCATGCACACTTAAACTCGCACGCTAACGCATACGCACGCACACATGCATATAAACACACACAGGATCTGTTGTATGTTAATCAAGTTTTTATGTTTGCTCAACTTTTGCAACATCAAGTATCTAATGTATCTGGAATGCAAAATATTGGAAGACTATCAATTGGGAGTGTTTGGCTGTTGTGCGTCGTCTCCTTTTTGCATTTTCATGCTATTACAACACGCAATTACACGTGCGCATATGCAGTTGCGTGTAATGAGGGTATTGGTGGTTGCTTTCTTGCGTTCGGTAAGTTTTCGTTAAAAAGAAGAGTGCCTACGACGCTTCTATAGTTAATTATAGCATGCCTTCGTCTACTTGTGTGTACTATGCTGCCGAGCCATATATAAGTTTATATATCGTATTTTTGTGTACCTATTCTACTCTGAACTACTACGACATACAATTACGACTGATAGAAAGTGATCAGATTCATGAGAAAATATTTAATGGCATTCCTATCATACAATGGGTGACAATCACAGAGATGATTCTATTTATTTTTCATAATGTGATTAATAACATGACGCACGTCAATAAAGTTCGTTGACTCTTTCTGACCATTCATCAGTTGGTTGGTTGGTCATCATTAAGATTTTCTGTTTTTAGGTGTAAGGGGAGATATTGATTTTGATTATTGATTAGTAAATCATAGTCATTGGTAAGTCGGAGATACATCCTGTGTGACAAGTTCGCAGTAGTTTTTTTAAAACATACAAAAATGTTGTAAATTACGCTGTTAAAATCAGTGGTTTCCTACAAAATTTGAAAACCAAATTCGCTTAACTGTTGTGTGTAGGGTGCTTAAACAGTTTCATTCCAGCCAAAATTTTTACCAATCTATATAGAGGTTTCGCTCAAATTAGCCTTATCTCTATCTAAACTTTCTCTTGCGGAGTTTTCTGCTCGAAAGCCACCACTTGGTTCCGATGACATATAAATTTAAAAAAAGTTTTTAAAACGAGTTGAAATGTTCACCTAGCATTGATGATAAAATCTTCATGTAAAATTTTGGTAGGGAATTGAAATTCATTGTTTTAAAATTTTTCAGTTTGTTGAAATTTGATGTCTTTTTTTCTATCGGGCACGTAAAATAAGATTAAGAATGAAATTAATTTAAGTGTTTTTGACATAAATGGAATTAATATTGAGTAGGACAAAAAGGTTGCAGGATGATTTGTTTGTGCGAGCATCCTGTGTGCATCTTTTATTGCATCCGGCAGCAAATCTTCTCACATTTCATTCATAACTGGCCTGCACATGTCAACTGCCCTCGTCATCTCGTTAACGTCACTAACGTTTCGACAACCATCATTGCTCGCCAACAACATTGTTACATTGCCAACTTTACTACTTTTCTATAGTTGTGCACCGTTTTTAATCAAATTTTTGTGTTACAAAATTAAAAATAGCAGTGAATCCCTATATAGTCAATTGCTACAATGTAAACATGGAAGCACTACCAAGTACCAACTACCCCGAAGAAAATTTAGTTGTAAAGCAGATGAGCCTTGGAGTATTTATTAGTTAGAAACTGGCGAGAACGTTTAGAACAGGCGCAATTGCTTCAATTGTTATTGTTAATGTTTAGAAGAAACGCTACTCTCACACACACACACACACACACACACACACACACACACACACACACACACACAGCAAGATAATTAGGTTAACAGGCAATTTGCAGATTGATTTACTGTTATAAAACAAACTCGACGATCGATAAGCAAACAATGAATTTAAAATTTTATTCCCACATTAGTTCGCTTGCACTGAAAAAAAATTTGAACGCAGTATTTTGCAAGGCTCACTAATAAAGCAACAAGATACAATACAAGAGTTAATCATCAATGTTTATTGGCAATTCGGCAAACACTTTCATAATAATAGTTATTTTTTTAAACTTATCTTATCTTGAAGTTTTTTGGGGTGCAAATGCTGTTGGAACAAAAATATTTTTCACTGATTATCGAGCCAGATAGTGTTTTCACGCATGCGCTTTCTGCACAAACATGCATGCACTTTTATGTGTGTGTTTCTGTTCTGTCAGAATTATTTAAGACATGATGTTCGGATGTGTTATGAATTCTTTTTACAACATTGTTACTCGCAGTCAGGTACTAGAATATTTAGTGATTGTTACATGAGTTTATCAGGAGTCCATAAGATCAATCCAACAATTTTAATTAATTATATATATTTTGCTCCCACTCATGCATCTTTAGATTAACAATGCAACTCGAAACATTTTGGATATTCGATTCAGGTGTGCAGATACGCTTGGATACGTGTTTAACTTTTAACATAACATTTTTTATTTTAATTAGTTTCAAAACGGTCTTTTCAAACCTTACTCGGAGTTAAAATAATGATGCCAACATCAAACACAACAGGTATCCCTGTGAATTTTACCAATATATATCACTCTGTGTTCGTGCATCTCAAACATTAATGAGCTTAAGGAATACCCTTTACAACTTACACATATGCCCAATTGTTCAAACACACACACACACGCACACACACACAGAGGCAAAATTCGTGCACTCGGTCGCGCCTAAAAGACATCAAGGTTAATCGGAGATTATGAAAAGTGTTTAATTTGTTAACTGAAATCGATTGTTCTTCTGCTACTTTAGCGAGTGCAGAGCAACAAAGACCGTTCGAGTGATCAGTATTGTTGACGAAACAAATTAGAAAAAGAAAAACATCCAATTGAGCGTGCACGTTCATCGAATTAAAACGCCATTTAAGGTAAGCCAGTATTAACGGCATTAGTTTCAGAAAGCAACAAAGCGACAAATGCTGATGTTTTGTTCGTCTCGTACCACATCGACTCAGCCAATTTCTTCTGATTCATGTTATAATCAATCCACAATCAGAGCTACAACAATTTACTGTTTTATTTTTTAGCTAAATTAAATTTCTTCAAAGTAAACTGAAATTGCTGTACATTAATATACTGATAAAAAATAAAATAGAGACTCACACTATTTATTTTCGAACACTCGTTTTCTATTTCGAATAAATATCGTAACTGAAACGGTTTCTGTTATTATGTGTGTTTATGTAGGGAAGTGACACCACACACTTGGTATATAGATAAATATATATAGCGGTTTTATAAATTTCAACAATAAAAAATTAAAAAATCTAAATATAATAAATTGAACTGGCCAAAAAAATTAATTAGAAATATTGGTTCATTGTTCCTGTTGATCAGTTCAAAACATGATTCTATGATTGCTTATTTACACCTAATTTCTCAATAGGTATATGAAACCCAGACATAAAACTTTATCATTTCGACACATGTCCAAAGATGAATGCACAAAAATAAAAAAAGAATGATCAGTGTAGAAATTTGGAGGAGATATCCTCGTACCAAGCAACCGTTTCCTTGCAGGTCATGGGATTTGTAGATGCGAGAACTTTCTCGATGTGCTGCATATTCAGGCTGGGCTCCTGGATGTCATCTCTCATCGCTAACAGGAACGCTTCATCTATGACGTTCGATAACTAAGGAAGAATAATTATTATCGTTATCATTATTTTTATTATCTTTATTACTTATTAGTTCACCCATCACTAATTTTAATCAAAATTTTCTCCAAGACACAGAGAACGAACAACGAATCACACAGTTTCGCATACGACGGACGGAAATCTCTACAGCTGGACCCAAACACCGCAACCAGGACTGGACAATTTACGAGTACGCGAGTCGAAGCTCAAATCACAAACATTTTCGCGCTGGCATGTTAACGGCGCGTACAAACTAGTATTTCGAAAATGGATGAGAAAAATTTGATGACGACTGAAAAACTTACCTCGGCACAGGAGTATCTCTGTGTAAGCTGAACAATCGTCTCAACATCTATAAATGGCCTCTTCGCTTCTTCCACATTTTCAAACGCTGTATATGTTTAATAACTTTACTAATAAGTCAATGAAAATCTATGAGGAAGTAGGATGTTATCAACCTTTTGGTTCCTCAAGAGATTAAAAAATATCATTTTTGATTGAGTAATTTTATCAAAAGAAACTATTTCAGTTCAACTTTAATTTGATATCACCTTCATTTGTGTATTACATCATGTTTGCAACTTAAATATGAATTTGCCTTGCGCAACAACACTTCAGCAATCATTATCAACTTAACAATAATTAATTTAATAAAACCAGCCCAGAATTATAACTATGATTTATTACAAATCGATTCGAAAGGAAGAATGAATCAATTTCTAAACGTACTCCTGTTGAGTTTAGTGATGATCAGCTTCCTCCTGGTGTCGTCATCGGGGAGTGGAACGTAGATGCACCTGTCGAACCTGCCTGGCCTCATGAACGCCTGCACGGGATGGAGTTTTTTTGTTATTTCGAAATTGTTTACATCATATTATTCCTGGTCTTAACAAAATTGAATTAGTTAGGCAACCAACCATATTGAAGTTATGAGGACTTATGTTAATTTTAATTTGAGGAAAAATATTATTTCAATTTTTTGCTGCAGTGGTGTGTTCACAGCTTTGAGGCACATTTATACTACTGATACCAATGAAAAATACAAAAGTATATTCTGGCATTGGACGCAGAACAAACAAGGTACACAACCATATACACTAACTCACAAACAGAGACACACACTTAAGCACACGCAGACAAATGCTTCAAGTGAAAAATGCAAAGAATAAAAAGTAACACAGTAACGTTTAATAACAAACAAAAAATTTAATAAAAATCTTCATGACATAGAAATTTAAAACTTGGAACAATATGATTGCAATGAAAAATTTGCTAAAAAATTAAAATGCTTGAAAGAGTAAATAACCGGATCGATGAGATCAGGACGATTGGTGGCTGCCACGATGAAGACATCCTTCAAATCTGGCAATTGGCATAATTAATTATATTTTATTATTTTTTTAAAATTTCACTTCTGAAAACGTTTCAACTAAACAGAAATAAGACAAGAGTTAATAAATGGAAACAAATAAGTAGAGAAAGAATGGCGTTGAACGCTGAGACCTGTGATGCCATCAATCTCAACGAGAAGCTGCTGTACTGCCCTGTCATCGACTGATCCTGCTGATAATTTCGTGCTGCTGCAGTTTCAAATGAAAATTAGTAAATACACACATCACATGAAGATTGATGTGGCATGGACTTCTCTAGAGTCTAAGTGGACCATCATTTAAAGCTAACCCTCTCTGCATGGCGAATGCTTCAATTTCATCAAAGAAGACGATCGATGGGGCAGCTGATCGAGCCCTCATGAAGAGGTTTCTGATTGCTCGTTCTGTCTCTCCCACAAACATGCCTCGAAGACTAGTGCCCTGGAGGAACATTCGTAATTAATTAATTAATTAATTCATATATTCATTCCGCACTTCATTCATTCATCTATTCACTTGTTCAATCATTTATTCATCTATAATTTCATTAAACCATTTATTCCATTTTACTGTAGTTGTTTATTACGTTGCATTAACTAAGCTGAGTTTGTTGCCGACCGGTTCATTTACTGCCAAATAAATTGAGACGTAAAATTTATCATCATTTTATGTGAATGAGCTTGCAACCATAAGCAGCAAACAGTTTCAACTTGTATAAAATATCTATAAAAGTACTTTGTTCTATTAGTGCATTTCATAATATTGTTTCTCTTTTGAAACATACGCATGTATTTTCTAGGAAATGATTAACACTACTCTTATCGGCTGAAGAGTCAAATAAAGCTATGAGCGAAAATGATCGATGGTAATGTTAAAAAGAACGATGGAAATGACCTGAACACTTATGAAATTGAGTTTGCTTTCGGTTGCCAGCGCCTTAACGAGCATCGTTTTCGAGCAGCCGGGAGGTCCGAACATTAGGATGCCTCGAGGCGGCTTCACCTTCAACCTTTCAAAAACCTCAGGATGCTTGATTGGCATGTGGATACATTGGTCCAAGATTTTCTTCAAGTCATCCCGTCCTCCAATGTCTTCCCACTTCACCTGTCGGATGAACACTCAATATGAACGCATGCAAACATGAATTGAAGGCATTCAACTGTCAATGGATTTCAAACTGTTGATGTTCCGAGAAAAGAAGCACAGATAAATTGATAAATTAGATGTGGAATTGCTTGTAGAATTGAAGATGTGGATTGAACCTTAACAATAAATTAACCTGAGGACTTTTGATTGCAATTTCTTTCATAACTGAAGGAACGATTTGATGGAAGATTCTCATCATCAACCCATCATCAATCATGCCACCATTCAACGTCATGTGATGCTTCACTAGGAATGATTCAAAACACCACAATTATTATTAAATGATATAAATAGATTAAATTCAAATAACAAACTGCATTAGTAATGATAATAAATATACGCAAATAAAAATTAAAGTCTAGAAACAACAGAACAAAAAAATTTTTTTTAAACTAAAAAAACAAAAATAGATGCTAAAACTTCATTCATTTAAAAGTAGATGTTAAGACTTATCTAGATGATAAAAGAACTGAGAAACCACATAAAATTTTCTGATTTTAAGCATGAATACACATCATTAAGTAGCACGTTGAAAACCTTGCACACACGCAGAATGGAGATCAGCTCCTGAATAACCATGGCAGCTGTCAGCAAGTTCTTTGATTCTTGATGGTTCACAGTTGACATCTATTTGTAGGCGCTTCATCTGCTTCAAAATAATCTGGAAAAGATAGAAGCTTTTGGAATTGCAATTGATTCATGTTTTAAAAGAAATTTGTTGGATTAATAACAGAATTGATTTAGTTGTTATAAATACTGATAATTATTATAAACAAATGATTATAATAGATGTTACATTATCTTATCATTGATAAGTTGAAAGAGCAGCAAAAAACCTCGTGTCGCTCCTGAGCTGAAGGTGGATATACATGACACACAAAACTGAAAATTCCTCTGCTACTCAGTAGATAAGGATCCATCAGATCAATTTTGTTTGTGGCTCCTAGCACGAGTAACTTATGTTTGAGAACCTAAATAATTAATTACCACTATAATAACAATAACAAATTACAACATAAAGTTGTTTTTAACAAGTTACGTGCTTAATAATGAAGCCTGTTATGAATAATTTAATTAAAGAACATAGGAAAAAATGTGAACCAAATCATTGAGGAATGAATCAAGATTTGCAGATATGCTTTTCTTGGAAGCTGATAAAGTTTCCAAACTGTCAACAAAGACTATCGTTGGAGCATTGAGTTGATTTTCAATTTCCTGCAGTTTACGCGCCCTATCTTCTTCATACCTATAATTTGCATACATTTGTTTAGTACTGTACATTATTCCACGAATAGTAAGAATTTAATTTTTTGTACACTTTTTTCAAAAACTGGAAGTTATTATTCAATGTGGACTGCATGTTACTTCTTTTATCAAAAAATTCTTCCAATGCTGATTCAAAAAACTGGTTGTTAACACTATACAGAGATCTCCAACTGATCTCAGATTTGTTCCAGACTCAATCTTAACAAATACGGATGCCATGTATTAATCTGATTAGTATTCTACTTTGCAAGACCTTTCCTTATTTTCTTGTTTCGTAATTTTCTTATTCTTTATTATGTTTATAATGGTAATTATAATGTATAGAAATATATATAATAAAAATTTGTGCCACAAAGACTGTACTATCCATACCACAATCACAGCATGATACGCGTATGATGGTTTTGAGCATCAGGCAGACAGTATTTGAACCATGCTATCACGATATAGCACTTCTTCTTCTACAGACTGAGCTAAATCGATGACAAAGTTTCTAAGTAACCCCTCTACATAACTAAACAATTATAACTTTTCTTATTTTCGAAGATCCTTGATGCTTTGCTCAGAGTAGTTAAACAAACATTTTTCCTAATATTTTGTGCTATGCTGAAAGAAAATTAATAAATTCAACATTTTGATAAATTTCACCATTTGTATAAAATTTAATTTATGATTTGGTAATACAAATGTTTGAACAGAACAAAAAATGACCGTATCACAAAAAAGGCAAAATTAAAATAGGATTAAACATCATTTCGTGATTTTTAAATGATATCAATTGTAATAAATAAGCTTTAGAGTCACAAAAAAGGAAGAAAATAGACTAACATGTAATCGAAGCTAGAAGTATTAATTGAAATGATTGGCAGATTGTGATGCTTGGCCACTGCATAAACTACTGAAGATTTTCCACAACCAGATGGTCCAGACAGGAGACAACGTTTCGGAAATATTTTCTCTGCAAGTGTGTTGTGAAGATTAATAACATTTTACGCTGTATCCGACGTAGCAATTGAAAATTTTCCTACTTTAATTACTCACATATACTTCTAATAATATTATTTGAAAATTTAATTATGCCCAAAATAAACTACAAAAGAAAACGTAAACTTTCCATGAGTGGGCAATATCAAACGAAAATTCATCATCTAAATGGAGACTTTGTAAGTTAGAATAAGTACTAAAAAAGTACACTTTATAATGGGGCATGCATAAAATCAATCTATAATTTCGGAAAACAACATTTCATCGCGAAAATTAAAAAATTGAAACCAAAAGAGATATGAGATAAAAAAAGTTTGAAAAAGAATGAACTCACTTAATGTTTGAACATTTTCAAGTAAATGAACTTTAACAAGGCAGTTCAAAGTGCTGATAATTTTATTCAAACCACCAAGATCATTTAATTTAACGCTTTTGTCATCATTTAACTGTCTCACATAATTCTCGGAAAAAACTTTCGATTTGGATGTGAACTTAAAGAACTTGTTTTTGTGAACGGCATCTGTGGAGATTGCTTCAGTCGTTAAATTTGGATAAAATGAGATGGACTCAATGTGAATGGTTAAAGTGACCTCTGCTCCCAAATAATTTATTGACAGACTTTCATTGTTCTGTAGGTAAGTTTTTTCTGAAACACAATTATTAAATGAAGTTATTCCTAATAAAACGCTAATAAAAATGTTTTATAAAGCAACGAACATCCAAATCAGGGATTAAGCAAGAACTGTACCGAATATGACATTAATTAAATTCTAGTAGAAACAAAAGCCAGAACAGAAAAGCCAACAAATAATTAGTTAAATTTCATTCAATGCACACTTATAATTGGGACCACATAAGCACACAAAAAATTTACACTTTTCAGTGCACAAATAAACCATTAACATATATTGATGTTTGAATAAATTAACTTCTGCTATAATGAGTTCAATTTCAAACAACCAAACTATAAATTTCGAATAACATTTGTTTTCTTATTTTTATTATTTCACTATATTAATGCAAAATGAAATTACAAAAAGCCGTTTTATCATTTTCAAAAATGAACTTGCTTAAATGAAAAGTAATTTCTTAATTTCTATTAATTCTGTAAGACCTTGTACATGTACACCTTATTCTTAAAATATATCATTGGACACAAGGACACAACTTTCAATCATAATCGCTATAAACATTTTTGGCAATCATCAAGTTATTGCTATTGTACTTTTTAACAACGGAAAATGAACTAGCCAACATAACAAAAATCACTTCCAAACAAATGTATTTTTTGTTTAATGAACCAAAAGAGAAAACATAATGATTTGAAAATCTGATCTAAATAAAAATGTGGAATGAATGAAGTATGATAAACCTAGAAAAGAGTAGTTGATAAGTTTGACTTGTTTGAAGTTATTTGTTGTGAAAGTGAAGTAGCAGGTGGATATTTCTGGGACATCAGGAACATTCAAGGGAAGAACATCACAATGGAATGTCTTCTGATCTTTCTCCAATGAAGACATATTTTTGATAGCATCAAAATGTTCCTTTAAGAAGCCTACACAATTCGCGTTCATTGATTTATGTGGCCATGCATAGAATAACAAATTATTGTTAATGACAAGTGGTTGTCTGTAGTGGTATCCTAGCTGATGCATTGTCTTTGGGTAAATGTAAATTAGTTTTTGCCAGTGTTTTTGTGATGACGATTTCAAACCTGAATGGTTGTAGAACAAAGATCTCAAAATACTTATGAAAATATTTTTCCACAAAACAAAGACACGAAAATTGAAATATTTTATAGATACTGACCGTTAGATTTAATCAAACAACAAGGCAGGTTTTCCATATTTTTAATTTTTACAAAACAATAATTGAAGAATTAATTGATGTTGATGATCCACCTATCATCATAAACCTTGAATCTCTTTTAAGCCCTGGAAAAAGTTTATTGGATAATTAAATAAAATTATAACTTATATATATATATATATATATATAACCAATGTGAGTAAGATACAAACCTGAATAACAATCTGAATGTGAGCTTTTATCTGCGATATGTTCTTATCCAAATTCTCAATGGTCTTTGTTAAACTGGAAATTTTCTTGTCAATGAATAACAATGCCTCTTCTAAAGTGAACTCCACAAAAAAGCCCAGTCCAATATCGAGGAATATTCTTTCAGTGTTCGTTCTGAAAACAATTTTTATGTTGCATTATTAATTTCAAACAATATTAAAAACTAAACAAATTCCAAGTAAAAATCAAAAACTTACATTTTGGCATCACAGAAACAAAAGGGATTCAAATCGACTGAGACAGACAAAGAAGTTAATTTGTTGTTAACAATGTGTTCCAACTGTATTTTAAGTAAAAAATATTCTGAATTTGTTGCATATAATTTTTCTCTCTTCTCTATTAATAACCTAGAAGAAAAAAAAGAATTAATATCATTTGTTAATTTTGCATTTATTTTATTGACCCAAATTTAAAGCAATTAAGCTTTTTGACAATAAATTAACATATGAACTAAACATTATTATAATTATATTGATGTAAAAAAAGTGAAAAAATCTGATAGTCTTCAACCAATCAATCAATCAATCAGTTTATAAAGCGCTCCTCAATGAATTTTGCAAACAGTTGAATCTTGAGATCCACTCTGAACTTCATAAGTATGGAGAAGTAGTCAGAGAAGGAGGAAGAGAGTTCCAGAGAGAAGGGCCAGAAAAAGCAAATGCAGATTTACCAAAAAAGTGTTTAACATGAGTTAAGAAGAAGTGATAACAAGAAGATGATCGTAGAATATATCTGATAAGTACTTTAGAAATAATTTAGATTGTGACTAATACATTAAAGTGCAAATTTTAAAAATTATTTTATATTTTATAGGTAACCAATGCAAGAGAACAAGATATGGAGATGTATAAGAAAAGAAAGGGGCATAAGCAACTAGACAAACAGCAGAGTTAAAAGATTTACTTAAAGGATAGAGTGTAGAATCAGGAAGACCATAGTAGAGTGAGTTACAATAATCAATCCTAGATAAAGCTAAAGAAGTAACAAGAAGGAGAAGAGTAGGATTGTCAAGAAAAGGCAAAAGTTTACATAGATGAAAGTAAGAACTTATACTAACTCTAATAATCTGAGAAGAAAGGGACATGCTAGAATCATAGAGAAAGCCTAGACTACGAAACTCGTGAGAAACATCATAAGTTATAGAATCAGGTAAGATAATAGAAGGAATAGTAATAGAGCGTTTAGATTTATTAAAACAAATTAATTCAAGTTTAGAAGGATTAAGTTTAAGTTTAAGGCACGTAGAGTCAAACCGAGCAATAATTGAAGAAAGACATCATAGAGATAGCATAAAATTAAAATAGGGATAGATAGTAGGAATGCGACGGTTCCGAATCCGGATCCGAATCCTTAACATACCAAGGGGGGTCCTTCAAGGACCCCAGAGAGTAGTTTTCCTTAACCCTGTCAAAAGTAACCAAACAAATTCCACCATGATTTTTCTATTCCTCCCGATTAGGGTAGCAATAAATATTCCATTGTTGTTTTTATTATACGTTATTTCAAAAACAGTAAAAAAAATAAAAGAGCATTGGGGTCCGTGTAGGACCCCGCTTGGTACACTACGTTACCGATTGTGTTTTTGTTTTTTAACACTTATGGCTGAAATTGTAGACACATTTTAAAGGTTTCAGTATTAAAAAGTATTATTCAGCATTCTTACTGAATATTTGCTCATCTTACTTACTTTTAATTTGTCCTCCATTTGCAAAACTTCCGTTGAAAATTATTATTTTCTGTTTCAAATAAAGTTTATAATTTGCTGTAAAGATTTTGATAACATAAAATATAAACGTAAACGTTTGAAAATAAGAAAAATGGCTCGTAGACAAACTACAGATGAGATTCTCCGAATGTTAGATGAATGTGAAATCAGTGACAGTGACCCGGAAGATGTATTGGAACAATCTGATGAAGAATTTATACCAGCAGGAGATGCATCCGAATTGGAGGACAATCTTGAAGTAAATTCTGAATATAGTGACAGTGCTAGTGAAAATTCGGATACAAATTCGGATGAAGATGAATTCACAGCAAAATCAGGTAGAAGATGGACAAGTTCTGTGCCACCATCATCTCGCCGTCGTCAATATAACATTGGTCAGGGATCA